TTATAAACTGGCCATGTCCTTGTCGATTCCGACTCGCACACTGTTCAAATTTTCATTTTTATACAACTTTGTACTATCAAGTAGCCTACCTGTTCTAAGATTTAATGTGAAAACAAAATAATGCAAGACATGAGCTACATTAATCGATAGGCAAAACAACGAATCTTACTTTTGGGGTTTGAGTGCGAGCGTCAGTAAAATGACGTACGCGTAGAACAAGGTGTATACTTGTTACACAAACAAATGAGATTTTATGCATGTTGAATTTTGGCTATTTTTCTCATCGCTGAATTTGGACAAAAATTTTCCTCAAAATAAAATTGCGATGAGGACAAAAACAAAAATTCCAAAATACAGTTTGATTTTAAATGCAATATCTAATATCTTATCTAATTTGTCTATTGGTTCTAGCCAAAAATTCTTCCAAATTTATTCGCTGATCAATACAATGTATTCTTGAGCCTTCATTTATTAATCAAAGGAGAAATTCAGTTCAGCTGCGATTTTCAAAATGCATATTTTCTTTGGCATTTTTTATTTTTAACTTTATATTATCTTATGTTTCAACTGTTTGTATGGTAGGAAGTTTTTATTTAAAAAAATAATACTTGTTTTTATTGCTTAATTTTTTTCTGACATAAAATAAATGTGTATGTTATATTTTGTTGCAAAAATTTATATGTGTTTCTTTCTTTTGGCATTATTTTGCCTCAGCCAGCCTCGAACTCGGAGTCCTCTGCTGCCGAGTTAGCGCCCTTACCCACTGTGCCACCGTCTCGGTTTAATTTCTTGCGTTCGTGGGTTCCTTATGTAGCAGTTCTATTTGCTTATTTGAAATTTTTTTGCAAAAGGTAATTTGCTGGGACCTAGAAGCGCCAGGTTTTGAACCTGGTGTTGCTGTGTCCGAGTCTCGCGTGCTGTCCACTCCTCTAAGTGTTCCCGCCCACCCACCCCTGGTAGACTTTTCTTTTATAGTAACCAACCGGAAATTCAAATAGGCCTTCTTGAAAAATATTTTGCAATTTCCAAAACCCAGACCAAGGAATCGAACCCTGGCCCGCGAATTCCACAGAACCAATGAAAACACAAAGACATTTTGTATTTATTAGGAAAGGTTTATTGAGAGCAAAGCAATGTCTCATTGATGCATCTATATATCATTATTAAACATTTAACTGATTGCTAATGTAAGACAAAAAATATCCACGTCTAGACAACCTCCATGTTGTAACAAAAATTGCCTTTCTATTTATTCCATTTGAATTAATAAACTTTCATCTAAAGTATTAGCCTTATCTTTGGTCTTGTTTCAATGAAATAATATAACACAATATTTCAGAAAGATGTTTCAATTAATTTCAAAATTTTTAAGAACAATGGTGGATCTTGTATCCCTCCCCCTCCCCCATCGCCAACCATAGTGAAAATAAAGGAATCTGACTCATAATTTCATTAAGTCCAAAATTTCACAATTTCATAATGTCCGAAATTCCACAATTTCATAATGTCCGAAATTTCACAATTTCATCCCACTCGGGCTCTGTCTCATAATTTCATAATGTCCCAAACAAATACTACAGTTTGCTAAGAATGAAAAAAAACTCGGCCAAATAACCAAAATCCACCACTGTTCGTCTTTTCTTCATAACCATAAAATATTGCGAAAATCATTTCAGTGAATGCTCTTTTTTTCAAAATTTTGAGTGCGACAATTACTATTCGGGGAAATATGAAGGGAACGCTTTTACTGTCTTTTGGCAAATATTGTCAAAAGTCGTTTCTGAAATGATTTTCACCGCTTTAAGCAATAAATCACATAATCAGATAGTGTACAAAAGTTACATAAGAATGTGAAGGACAAGACTTATAGAAATCTTAACGAAAAAGCATTCTTAACATGTGCAGTAAACCAATCTGGGCGAAAAATCGAGAGACAATACAATATTTCTTTTTCAACTTACATTCGATTTAAATTCCAAGATTTTAGACATATTAAATTTGCTGATGATCGAGAAAGAAAAAGAAAAACTTATTAAATCATGTATGAAAGATCTCTTTATCATTTAGTAGAATCCAGATTATTCGCCATATTGTTTACACATACAATTATTTTTTTCATTATGTGCATTCTATTCCGCGAACTCATGCTTAATGAATTTGGTATTGTCAATCTTACTGATTTAAACATTTATTCATTCAGATTACAATTCTGATTGAGAATTTGTAAAGCGTAACTTAAACAATCCATTTTATACACAGTAAAACGGTTACACTAACTCGTACAATGTATATCCGCCAAATCACATTTTAAAGTTCAGGAAATTTTCTCAATAGAAGAAGAATTTGTCGTTTGTAGAAAAAAAAAAACACTCGACCAAAAGGTTCAGAAACATCGTTATTTTGGATAAATATAAAAAACATAGGAGCTAAGGTAATTATTTAAAACAAATAATGATAAATAATGATAAATAATACACCCACATTTTCTACACATTGAAGATTTTCTCCCTACATTACATTACATTTTTTTACTTTTTGAAAAAAAAAAACAAACAATTTCATGTTTCTGAACTTTTTCATTCGGGTGCATATAATCGATTGTGGTCCATAAAATGACAAAATCAATAACATATGACAATATAGAGATGGCATCAACGTGTGCTAATGACCTTGTTTTATTTTTCTGATTATTACAAAGAATGATACTTTTTTTTACTGAAAGTCTCAACAGGTTGCCCCAAGTCATCGGGATGTACCATATCCACGAGGTGCAAGGAATCGCGATTCATCATCATTATTATTTATTTATCTATTATAATTATTACTAAGTTTTGTAATTTTTTAGTTTCAATTTTCTAATTTTCGTGTCACTCTCGTAATAGAGACATTAAATAGAGTTTCACTCGTGGCGGTAAAAATAAGAAATACAGGACATAACATAATTCTAGATGGTACAGTAATTTACCAAACAATTTTGGATATGGGTAACCTCAATGATAATAGGTAAACCTGTTGAGATTTTCAGGAATGTCTTTATAATATATAGGTATGTAACGCACACTGTATGCTTTTCAGATTAAAAATTAATTTAAGTTCATGATTTGAAAAAAGGGAAGAGATACTTTACATGCTAAGCTCAAAATCATGAGTACGGTAACTAAAAATGCTTTAACAAGAAATTAATTAGTGAACGCAATTTTGACTAAGCATAGAACTGAATTACGAAATGGATGCTCTTTAATATAATGCTAAAAGTCATTCCGCAGCATTTCCCCCATTTGGTTGTCTTATACAAAATTCTATGCCATTACTGTTTCTAAAAACGAAAGTCAGAATAGCAAACATATGGTGCAATTCCATTTTTCAGTTTCATGAGATGTGATATGTGACGGAGAAAGTATGGAGGAAGCAACATGTTACGTGGGGAAAATATTGGGGTATGGCCCTAGCCGGTTTTAAGCAAGCATGCAGACAACAAAATACTGTCCAAAAATGAATCACAATATATTATCATCAAATATCTAACATTATTATCTGAAAATCAATCGGAGGAATTTGAAATATCCATATACTTAGTTTCTTCTAGTAGATCGCCTGGCATCCACTCCTTGGGCACTCAGACTAGAAGTAGAAATGACATCTCTTCCTTAGGTGTGTCTTCAGTTTGACTCGGGGAGGGGGGGTGGGCAAGATGAAGTGAGCAAATTTTCTTCTCAACACTCACCATTATCTGACAGGACAGGTTAAACTTCCTAAATAAAATTTATTTGGCTATTTTGTGTTCAACGTATTGTAGATATACCAAAAAAATAAATGTCATAATAAATGTCATACCCTACCCACCCCAAAATGAAACGATATTATATAGGTCACTGGCTTTTCTGACACGGTCCACTGGTTTAATCTGAGTAGTTTTTCCATAGTTGCAAAACCAGACCGTGCTAGAGCGCCATCTCTAGGGCGAAAAAATGGTCTTTTCTCCTGCAATGGGAACCTTAGCAGATTACTTCAGGTTAATTATAAGATTATATGAAATGGCCAAAGAATAATGTGAGGACGTTCATTGTTTTTATCTTTTCCTATCCGCCCAATAATAAATAAGCTTTGATGTATGCATTTCTTTCATGTTTACACATTATGTTCATGTATACGTGTGTTACTACATTGTAAACAAACGCACAATGAAAATGTTGATAATCTGCATCAAGAACGAGCATTCATATCAATATATAAGTTATAAATATAACTTAAAGCCACGTAAAATGAATTTAGAATGTTACACCAATCTACAAAAACTTATAAATGAAGGGGAATGGTATTTTGTACATACAAAAATTGCCAAGTTTAATCCACGCTATTTTACTTCATTTTGACCGCTTCTAAAATAAAACCCTCTATTAGAATAAACATCACAACGGTTTAGCCCCCCCCCCCCCCCCCAAACACACACACATACACCCTTCTTTTTTCGACCACGTTTTTCTCCGTCGGCGTGGGAAGGACGGGGGGGGGTCTTTTTCCAAAATGCACATGGTGCTCAATTTTCGAAACGCAGTACTTCTTTAATGGTTTGTCATTTTATTTATCTTTTCTTTTCAAGAGTTCACAATACTATAGTGTTCGTGCCTCATTGCAATTTAGTCAGTATCACATTTGAAAACATAGGCTACGCGGTATTGTAGATGTAAGAAGGCTAGCTTTGACTAAGACGAAATCGCCTTAAAAACATATAAAACGCTTATTTAAAACGGGAGGTATTAATACATAGCCGACTAGCTGCACTTCACGTTATGACCGTAGAAGATACCTGTAACTACTTACGAAGAAACACAAAATATATGAAAAAAGCACTATTATAATCAGATAAACATCAATATCTGTTAATCACAGCATATGATTATACGTACACATAAATGCACAGAAACTCTGATGGTAATTCTGGAAAGTCTGAGAAGTGGTGCGAATTTATTATAAAGTCAAAACTTTGACTTGTTCAAAACTTTTTTTTTTACAAATTTGCAGTAAATTAGTAGCTAATTTGCACGAAGTTTGCAGTAAGTTTGCAAGAAAGTATTCATGTTGTTGCAAATTTGCAAGAGAGTTTGCAGCAGGCCTAATATTTTGCTTCGGGCGCAGACCTAATACCACCGACGCAGATCTTGGGTGCGACTGTTCAAAGATGGAAAATAAGAGAAAAACTGTGCACAAGTCGGTTTCAACTTTATAACAACACGTAGAAATAAGTTATACGATGAAGTTCATTTCACCATAAAGCACCGCACAGCGACTTTATAAAAGTTTGTTTTTAATACACATAAATTTAAATTACATCATCAATTTGTACATAATTAAGTCTAGCGACAAAGAAGCTTTGCCTTAAATGTGCATAAAAATCTAGGACGCAGTAGATCAGGTGCAAATGACCATATTATAAGAACTGCTAATTATACACTAACTGTATCACTTGTGCATCATTTATTTTAGACTTGAATTACAGACCTTTTTTAGCCTTTGTTAAATTAATTTTCATTCATTATATTTTCCCCATCTTTTATTCAGGGATATAATTTACAAATACCTAACAGTACACATACGAATTATAAAAGATTCACGGCTGCTCCATTTTGTACAGATATTCTTAAATATTGTTCTAAATATAAATACAGCTGCTCTGGCTTATAATAATAATTATAATAATAATAATAAATCACGTGTTTGTGGCTCTGCATAACTTTGTTATCAATTTCTACAGCCTTATATTTACTTACAGATAACACCAGTTTTCCCATTTTAGTTTCAAATTTATCAAAATACAAACTTAATACCAGAATGCATTATTTGCCTTTCATAAAAACCCCAGCAATCTTCAAGAAGATCCAGAATTCCATGTCACTTAGTCCCCAGTTTATGACTGCAGAAAAAATGGCCTATATGTCTACAAACACAACTAGCAGTATATAAATCATTGTAACAAGTAAGCAATACTTTACTTCGACTTTGTGTATTTAAATGAATTAAAATAGCATATAAAGCTAACAGTGACTTAATAACCATTGCACTTATATTGGGGGTGATGCTGCATATAAGCTTGTTAGAAAATGACCAAATGCTGCATGTTCTCTCTTAGCTCTTTTCTAATGTCAAACTTAATAAATTTTTGCATTAAAGTTCTTTGGTCAGTAGCTTGTTGAATCGCACAGTCTTCATCATAATTGGGTCAAGGTCATGTTAAGGTCAAGGTCATGGTCAGGTCAGGTCAGGTCACATGAGTTCAAGTGAAGCTGAGCCTTATTTGTGCTTAATTTATCCATGGTTTCAATACTGTCTTCACATCCTGGATAAAAACCAGATCAAAGACATGTATCAGTTCTAGTATCAATAAAAAAGATTTTGATGTGGCACCATCATTAAATAAGTCTATATACTTGACAAAAATTAAGAAGACCATGACAGTATAATCAGATGATTAGCTGCTCTTTATTTCACTCCAGATATGAGAACTGGGTATTAAATCCAAGGAATATACATATCTTCCTTGTTAGACATTTTCCTTCATTTTTATAATTAAAATAGCACATAACATATTAATAAAGAATGTGTCCATACATTGTGAAAAATGATAAAATGTTAATTGCAAGACAGTGGTGCAGTGAGGAATCCAGAATGGTATCCTTTGTGTGAATCCAGGGAGTTTCAGAATAACCAAATCTTCGTTGAAACTCAGCTGTAACTTGATTGTACTAATAAGCTGCCATGTTTCTGCTTCCTAATGAAAGTTAAATTTGAAAAGCTGACTCTACGAGTTAGAAAAAATGCGAGTGGCTGTATTATATAATGTCACTTCCATTGAGAAAATTGGGGTTAAATAATATGTTCACTCTATCATGATTTCCTGTCACTGTCCTGAAGTACAAATCATTGAAATTGTCTAGCTTCTGTGTCAGCTGTTAGAAGCCTGACACGACACCAGTAAAATGGTCCTCTAAATCCATCTCTGTCACAATTATACGTGGGATTTTGTTACAAAGGACACCAGTATCACGGTGTCCTGTTCCAATTTGTCACATTGATCTGGGTAATTGCGTTAGAGGAGACACCTGTAAACAGCGTCCAGCGCAAGTATGTCACAATGCTCTGGGTGATTGCCAAAGTCAACGAAAATGACATCAACTGCCTTTCCTACTGAATCTGTCCATATTCGCTATAGCTATCACATTATGTCAATGAGGACACCAATAAAATAAGTGTCCTATAGAAATTGGTCACAATGCTCTGGGCGATTGTGTTAGAGAAGACGTTATCAATTGTGTTCTATACCAGCTCAGTAACATAATGAGTCAACGGTGTAGGAAGACCGGCAGCATTCACTTTATAAAACTCCACCAGTTGAATTAAGTCCAAGAATTTTGTTCTTCCCTCATCTAAAGTATAATACAGCTGCCCCTCGTGTTCCAACTGAAAGATATATTAAAGATGCGATTAAAATCAAATTTACTTCTTCAAACGTCTTTAAAATGTTAAGATTTGTAACGTAAAGTGTACAATAGTTGCAATCTTTAATTACAAACAGCTCTAATAAATATGCAGTAATTGTTTAACTATATAAAACACTAAAAAAAAAATCCTTCTAAAACAGTTAATTATTCCAAACATTCACTGCCATTTCAATAAATTTTACTTACCGGTGAAATTTGATAGTGACGCACTTTTTGATTGTGTGCAAAAGACAGGACATACACGCCCGGAATTTTGTGACTTTCTCGAACTAAATACACCCTGAAATACAATTATGTACCAGTATAATTAAATGGTTAAAAGTTATTAACAATTGTACTTTATGGTGAACTGGATTTTCCTCTTCTCTTATTGTGTGATTGTAATTAAAAAGTTGATCATTTTTATAAAAATAGGACACCTGGCATATATGTAAAATGAAAGTTCTAATAGCCAAAATTTACCTTTGAGACATTAACTTCTGTGCTAAAATATCACGTTAAATCAAAGAAAGAAAACCCATCAACGCAGAGTTTTTTTTTCTTTTAAATATCATCCTATACATAACAATGCACAAGGTCATAAAAATGGTATACATTAACTCCTATTAGAAATTAAATGTACCACTCACCCATCAATGCAGCCATGTTTCATGATGGCTGCCACAGCCTCGTCTCTGGTGACGCCACTGTGAAACCAAGGTTGTGTCATGTGTACCCCAGACGTTATACCATATGACACCGTCTTAGTCTGGTCTGAAATTAATAATAATAATAATAATAATAATAATAATAATAATAATAATAATAATAAATTAGTCTGGTCTGAAATACCTCTGTAGTGTCCAGCAACAGCCTGATTTTTAAATGTTATTAAAAAGTACCCTCTATTATCTTGGAAATGGCAAAGGCATGATGATACACCTCTAACAGCTTGAGAAGAGTTAGAAATAGATTAGGCATTTGCAAACTCGAGCCTTATATTTGTGAGCACAAATCTCCAAATTAATGACTTGAGCCACGAACCAAGAACCTCAATGTTAAATTTAATTTAGTAGCCACACAGCAATAAGAGCCACAAACCCAAATTGATTTTACTTTGGGGTACTTAATTCATGGCACAAGTTGTTTGTGCCCCCAATGTTAAGACTCGTGTTAGCAAGCAACAATTGTTGTTTATGAGGCATAAACCACAGGGTGACATCAATGTGACAAGATAAAAGTGGTAATTTTGTCTGCACATCACAGGATACCTACTATGCATTGTATCTGAGGGGGGACTGGAACCGGTTCGTACAAAGGCGTGGTGATGGAACGCTGTTGGACTCGATGCTGTGACTGGGGTACAGGGCATACGAGGTGAGCTGCTTGGGCGAGCAATTTTCCGCTAAAAGGAAAAAAGATACTACTTAATATGTAATTTTTTCATTACTATTTAATTTTTTTAATATCATGTCATATTTAAAAATAATTTAAGCAAAGAATTCTGAAACTTAAAATGGCTTTATTGCTCAAGGTGTGCAACTGTAATAAAATAATGAAAAAAATCCAAATTGGGAGAAATTGCTCTAATCTGACAGCAAACTTCCTCTGATAAGATGATATTATTTGAACTGGTCACAAGTGTTCTTCAATATAAATCTTTGGAAAGGGTGGTCAAGGTAATTAATAAAGGCATAATTTTTGTAAGTGGAAGTGAGTCATGCTCAATATCAAAAATGTCTTGATACCACAGCACAGTCCTTCATCTACAGATGGCTATATGTACCTGTATTTTCTCTCACGCATCATTCTCTCTCTCTCTCTCACACACACACACACACACACAAACTGTCAATCTCTCTCTCTCTCTCTCTCTCTCTCTCTCTCTCTCTCTCAAACATGCACACAAATTAACACAATCATTCACTCACTCATACACACAAATGCATGTATAGAAACAAAGGCAAACAAAACAAACATGCACACGTGCACACACACACACACACACATGCACACACACAACACACACAGTCACACATGCACACACACACACACACACACAACACATACAGTCACACATGCACACACACACACACACACACACACACACACACAACACATACAGTCACACATGCACACACACACATACACACACACACAAGCTCACCCTCCAATGCTGTCCCTCTTCTATGGCCACTCCTATGGCCTCATTGGGGTCATCTATCACGCGACCTTTATGTCCAGTGAAGTCCATGGCCACCCGCGACTTCACATCATTCTACAAAGGGAGGAAAAGCATGGTTTGGTACAGGGTTCAATTATTAAGGGAATAATTACATTCTGAGGTGTTTTATTCATACATCAAAATAAAACACCTCAATGAAGTCTAAAAGCAATTTCTAATTGATTTAAATCATATTGATAGGAATATAATCAATACAGATTGATTTATTTCTTTGTTTGAAGCAGCAAAAAGGATAAGTTAGTCTTTGAAGTCAATATTTTGACTAAACAGGTGGTCAGATGGCATTTGGCTTTGTCTCAAGGTTGAGTGCTTGAGTGCATTTCTAATAATTTTCTACTCTCTGTCAATATGCAGGGCAAATGATGATCAACATCAGAATCATTGCAATTCATTAAAATCATCACAGTGAAAAAATCAATTTGGTGTGAATAAAAGCACAAGTTAATTTTCAGCAATATGTCACTGACATCAGTAAATGCCCGGACAATGTCATTAGTAAGATGTCATCCATCACTTCTTCACACGACCAAAAAAATGTTTATAAATTAAATTTAATAATAATGTAAATAATTTAAATATAGCCACATATGTATGAGCTAAGGTAAAAATTTTAACCAAATATTGATAATGCACCCAAAATTCCTTATTTTTTAAAATTATATACATTGTAGGTTTTTCCCACTATATTACATAGGCTTTTAATTTCTAAAAAAACAATTTCATGTGGTTGAACATTTTTGCTCGAATGTATAATCACTACTTACTTTCTGCCCGGGGAGCCCATGGCCGTTCTCTGCTAGTTTAGCTTTTTCTTCTCGTCTCATGGCTGTTTTATAGTTTTCACGTAATTTGGACCCAAACTGCATAAAATGGATACAAAATTAACAAACAAAAAAAAAAAAATAAATAAAAATAATAATAATAATAATAATAATAATAATAATAACAGATACAAAATAAACAAAGAAATAAAGCTTTATAAAATAAATCCAGTGATAAGGTAATGCACATTTGAACTATTGATTCCAAAGGTATCAATGAACCAAATGCATTTTTATGTCTTCTCGTGTGTAAATTTGACAAGACAATCCTGAAATTGTCAAATAAAGTAATGTAGCTTAGCTCTCTCTATCAATTTACGTCACAATAAATGTCACTTAATTTGGTGCATTATAAAAAAATTAAATCACACAGAAGTCAGTCCACACCTTAACAAAGCGTAACCCTGCAACCCATCTTATTCGACTTTTTTCGTCCTCAGCACACAAACACTTCAAATCTTTGGGATCTTCTACATCTTCTGAAGGCTGAAATTTTAGTCAATGACAAGTGTAAGCTTTTTTGAAATCAACTGTAACACATCATTCTTACTAAATTTAAAACTGGATGGTACATATAGATGAAATTTTGTGTCGTGATTTCCTATTGAACTCAAAACTTAGATGTAAACAATATAACTTTTTAATCATCATTACAAAAGGCAATGGAAGAATATTTTTCAAAAAGCTGTATGATACCACAAATAATAAAAATTAACCCCCACAATCAAACTTTTGTCTTCACCTCAACACTTACCTTTAAACAAAAGGCAAAATCTGTCGGTGCATGAAAAGTTTTTTTGGCACTTAAACACAAGTAAACATTGCAATCTGTGAGCTGGGAGAAAGTTACAAGGTGTCGGGGATCCTGAAAAAAATACAATTATTTTATTAATTTAAAATTCTTTAGATTTTAAAATATGTTTTCTTTATAAAAATTAATGTGAGTTTATCTGATAACAAATTGATTTTGACATCTTTAGATGAAAAATTACTAATAAGCCATTTACAGCAGCTATCTTAAACATCTTTATTTAAACTTAGTAACTAGAAATTTAGGCTGATTTTATGGCAAAGTAACAAATTAAAATGATTATAATCATAATCATGCTTGTCACTAGCATTAATCTCTATATCTTCTGTGACACTACTTTAAATTCGTCACAAAAAAGATTCAGGTATCTACCTTTGATGTTCCTTTTGTGGAATAATACAGTCCCGAACCTCGGAGAAGGAAAAACATCTTCTTCCAAGACTTCTTACCCGCGTCTTTGACATGGAGAAACCCTTGCATATCTGGAACTCTATCCGACTCACTGAATAAATTCTGAATTAAAATATTACATAATTAATTAAAATTTAAATTCTTAGGATGAATTATATCTTAGGATGTACAATAAGCGGAAAATTATTACCTGAAGAAGCATTAATGGGCTATTACAGTTTTGCAATTGAGTGAAACATTTTCTTAAGATACCACATTCAGGTATCAAATCAAATATTAACAAAATATTTAGATTTTAAAGAAATTTGTAGGAGTGATTGATTAGACCAGGTCTGACTTTTTATCCTCATATTGCTGTAAGTCTGCATTTGTAGCTTCGCTACATCTTTTCTTTTTCTTCTGTTTTTCTGTTACAAATCTCTGAACTGTTTTTTCATACACTTGTGTTTATATGTTACATATTTTCAAGGAGAAATAAAACCTTTTGTTCTGCATGTGCATGTTTGTGCATATTAGTACCTAGGTTCATGCATATGTGTAGTTTCACTGTACATGTCATATAATTACCTGTAGCAGCATTTTTTTCTGTATTTCGGCTTTTTTACTTATCCCCACTAAGTCCTCTTCTGTGTCCACCAAGTGGTCAGGGTAATATTGCTGGAAGGAAAAAAACAGCAAATTCAATCACTCACCATCGGACATTTTTCTATTTTACTGTATAAACACGTTAAGGTAATGACCCGATATTTATAATGCAGAAAAATTATCAATCTCTCAGAAACAGAACTTTAAAATCATTAAAATTTATATTCTATGTACTATTTTTTGGTACAGAACAAATAAGGCAGATTGCTTCTCAATTTTTTTGCTACCACTCAATGGGATATTTTAATTCTAAGTATTTATGACTTAAAAACTTTTAATATCTGTAAAATTCTGTTCTGAATGGCTTCTATGAGTACTTACAGCAGGGTTTTGAAATAGGTCATATTTTCTGAAATCTTTCCTGAAGTAAAATTTGTTGTTCTCGTTATTCTTCCACTGGTCATACAATGGCAATATGAGCTCATGGTCCTCCAGTCCTCTTTCTAAAAGTATAAAAAATCCTCAAATTTGAAAAATTTTCTTTAAAATTTTAAATTTTACATTAAAAAAGACTGGGAAAACTCAGTAATGTAATCAGTTTTATTGTCTGACACACCCACTCACAAAGCAACATGAACAACATCAAGGACCACAAGGTTTTTCTGACTTTACCAAGAAGGCATACCAGAGAATTAAGCTGATTACTTTGACCGCGCCTTAGCAAGAATCCCTGCTGAGATAGATTGACCCTGCCATTACAAGAGATTAGATCGATCCAACTAGATCGACCTAACTCCCTGGGGGTTCACGCTAAATACCTGTCAGCCGAGCGGGCACAAAAGTTAATTACCCCTAACAGTTTGTAGTAGGCGGGACGGACATTTAAGCCGGATTATCTGACATTAATCTAGTGAGACTCCCCACGGGGATAGATCGATCTAAAATCTATGGGAATGTGCCCTAAGAATCAGGACATTTACTCTCTTACCCAGATTTAGTTTGGTAAGGTGCTCCACCAACATCCAGTTTTTGTCCTCCATTGCATGATTCTTCATCACCAGTAAGTAGCAGAGGTCCCAGACGTTACTGTACTCATTGATAGGGACTGTCTTGTAGCTGCTGTCTTGGTTATAAATATTCAGTAATACCTGGAAAACAATGGTGGTAAATTATTCAAAATGTATCTACATCGTATTGCTGACGTCTGATGAGGATGTATGAAGAAGACATTTGAGATCTCTGCTGCAACTGCCATAAGCAATCAAGTATCGACAAGGCTCGTAGACAGGGTATAGGGGGATGGGGTAGTTCAGTTTGGGTGGGGGTGTTAGAAAAAGTCATCATTTTGGTCAAAAAGGGTCCATTCTGAATCAAAATGTGAAAGAGATAAACCTATGCATGTACATATTGCATATGTGCTTTTTTCCAAGTTGGGGCATATAAAAAGAGAAAATATATAATGGCCCACATTTTGGGAAAAATTCAAGAATTTGTATTTTAAAATTGATGAGTACGACCTGGCCTATTCTGGCTAAGATTTTAGTTGTTCAATAGGTGGAATTCTAAAGACCAATCCAATCATAATTAATCAAAGTACAAACACATCCAAGTAAGCCTATGATAGCAACTTAGACCTTAATACAACGATACAAATACAGCAGAAATATCGATTAGTCAAGGAAAAGAAAAACAACTATTCCATGTCTTAATGAGCAGACAAAAGCCATGTTATTAATAAAATACCATGGTGAAATATTCAAGGATGCAGTCACAGTCACCAAAACAATGAATTCTATGGAAAATGATTGTCTATAGCAACCAACAAAAACTAAGCAGGAAATTAAATCTATTTACCTTTCTTTGCACTGCCTTCCCTGCCAACCTCTCTGATGCAGTCCTAAGAAGCTGCCCTCTCCATTCTGTCTCCATCTGAAAGTAAATAACCAAATGGCATAAACAAATAAACAAAAACTAGAAGGTTCCTCTTAAAAAAATCACTTTTTGGTGCAACCCACTTGAAAGCGTGCAGATCGAGGTTTAATCACTCTGCCCCTGCTTGGAAGGTGCTTGGGAGGCGAGAATTCATACTGTCAGACTCACCTCATATTTGATCCACAGACTAGTTAGTCTATGTTGTTTGACAGAAAAATGGCTCTTCATGGGGATTTCTGAATCTCAGACCCCACAGATTTTAGATCTATCTATCCCCGTGGGGAGTCTCACTAGATTACTGTCAGCTTAGCCAGCTTAAATGTCTGTCCCGCCTACTATAAGCTGTAAGGGGGTAATTAACTTCCATACTCGGTCGGCTGACAGCAATTTAGCATGAACACCCAGGAAGTAAAGTCGATCTAGATCTCTGGGAATGCATTCCCAGAACCAATGGGCATCACGTTACTAGTATCTGTCCGTCTATTCCTACCTATACATTCACATCCAGTCCAGTTTGTCCAGGAGTGACTTTCCATCTTCATGTGCCCCATGTGAATGATTTATATTTTATAATCAAGTGTCTATGACAAAATAGTTATTTTAACCAAGCTTTCAAAATCCTTTTTTCATAGAACAAAATTTTTATTTCAACTTTTTAAAAATGCAGATAAAGGTGCACATGCCTAGATGGGTCCAGAGAATTGTTGCAGCTAAATACTCCGATTTATGTCTAAATTCAAAAGAGTTTCATTTCTATATAATAATCTATTAGTGAATTGGACTATCTCTGTTGCAGTAACGCACTATAACACCTGTAGAAGATTTAGACCCTTTTCAGATTCAAACATCGTACCAGCCTGAACAATCCAAACAGCTCTGCAGGGGATTTTCACTTAATTGCATTTACGTTGTGTAATCAGCCTAATTGCATGCTAAGTCTCCTTCATAGCTGGGGGGTAATTTACATCTGTGTGCCTTCGTCTTAGCAGCTCAAGGAGGTGTTAGATCGAATTTACGAGTTGAGCCAGGATTTACAAATCCTGGGGACTAAATATGGCGGACGTACATGAAAGAAAAACCACCTAATCCTTTAATAGACTCTCCGCCTCTCACACGCCTCCCCATGTGTCGTCCCAATGGAGCCGAGATTTAATGACTGTTCCCCACGCAGGGACGACGTGTAGGGAGGCGTGTGATAGGCGGAGAGACTATTAAAATATTAGGCAGTTTTTCTTTCATGTACGACCGCCTTTTTTAGTCCCCAGGATTTGTAAAGCCTGGCTCAACTCGTTGTGAATGCGATCTTGGTCATTTAAGCCAACAAAAGTGATTTCACTTAGGGAGAATCTCTAATAGAGTTGAATCGATCCAGCTAAGAGGATGGGTTTATCTGAACGCTCCCTTTGGCACACACTACGACTGCTGAAACCTGTAATTCCACACAGTGTTATCTGGTGTCACTTATCTCACAACAGTTTGTAATTCATTTGCTCCCTATTCACGCACCATACCTTTGGCATATGAATGTGTAATAAGAGTTAAGAATCAGTTCACAAACTGATCATGTTTCAACTGATGTAAGTTCTGATCATTTACACAAGAAGACATTATAAATAACCAATATTGCACTTAATATCTCAATCACTTTGATATATTTCATAAAGAAAACTTAAATTAATTATGATCTAGCTTCAGGTGAGTTGAAGGCCTATGCAAGACAGAATTCACATGTTATGTAAACATAATTTCAGCAACTGTTCAAAAGTGTTGTAATTCTTTGTCACAAGGAGTCCATACGGGCGCTATTCTAACTTTTGAAAACTGTCCACAATTTACTTTAGTTACTAGGTACATGTAAGAACATATATGTATGTGATACAGCAACAAGCCATTTTTTCTTTTTGTTTCTATTGACTCAAAAGCATCCCCTTTTTCTTAAAACAATGCACAAATTCCACCAGAGAAAAAATATATTATACTTAAAACTCTTCAATATTTTTCTACATGTACAGTACATAAAACCATCACACACCTTAAATATAAAACCAGAATATTTTTTAAAATAAAATTTAAAAACTTACCAGAAATTGAAAAGCCCCAACACTGCTTTTCCACGTAAAGATTTACCTCTAGTTCAAAATTATTTAACACTGTCAGAGTGTGCCGACAAAGAATGCAAATCTCACTATTTTATCAACTGCATGCATGACTTTACTTCCTCTATGACAACACCATGTAAAATATAGATCATGACAGTGTCAGGGAAAATGAAAAAGAAAAGTAGGCCACAGCACCCTTATTATGGCCGCATTCAAACCCAGATTAACTTAGGCTAGAATAGGTATTGACACGATCTTTTCAATGGGCAAAAATTATCAAACTTTCAGATACATATTAGTTTATAATTACAAAGATCATATTTTCTTTATCACTTTTGTAGTGCTTTTACTGTATGGAATATTACAATAATTACTGCTGCTAAATTTTGTTACTACCACTCAATAGGGATATTCTAATTTGAAGACATTGTGATAGTAAATAAATACAATATTTGTAAAATTAACAATTCTTGCTCATTGCAAAGATCGAGTGATTATCATATGTCTTCCCAAGGACAACCATATGCCATCACTGAAGGTCTTTATATGCATAGGAAACAAGGTCATCATGGTAATTAATAGTGGAATTTCTAAACAGACAAATTTAAATATTTTTTATCTAAAAGGAATGTCATTTCCTTCTTCAAATGGTCCTAACCACATGACTGACTCTTCAAAGTAGGGTACATTATAACTTACAGATCTCGGTTATATCCAAATCGTCAGCATAGAAATTAAGGTGATGAAATGTTGGTTACACAGAAATGCTCCACAAACCACATCATTTTTTTTATGCCCAATATATGTCAAATTTACCCTTATCATTCATTAAAAAATGATATAATAACTTTTTTCCCAGTTAATGCTACAGAATATGTGTAGCCAATAGCAGGCAATTTCAAGAGCAGGGGTGTCTGAAATTTTACCATGCTGACATAGAACCTATGTTGAATTTATATTAACAGTTAACATTTTGATGGTCAAACCCCCTTGCATGTATTTCATAACCATCACTGTGTTTCTCAAGTCTATTCAAAACTAGCCTAACTTGGAAGCTTCATCTGTATAAATTTCACATTTACATTTATCTAGACTAGCTTCTGTCTTAAGTAAACAATAAACAAAGTATCAATACCAATATAATTCTATGGTATATACTCAGGATATCGAAAAAAAAAATAGTAAAATTAAATATTAAGCTATGGTATGCATTTTGATACCAAAATTTTGGACCCTATGATTTCAAATTGGTCCAAATGTGAACACGACCTACTGTCCTACATTTACAGTGACACTTGGCACTTACAGAAGTAAGGTACTTGTTCACAAATTTCAAGCACCATACTCATAATAAACATTGCTGCCTTTCTATATTTATAATATTTAGTTACTCGTACAACAGGAAATTAAAAAATATATTTCCATTTGTCAGCCAAACACAGTAATTTTCATGTAGTCTTTAAATAATTTGCAACATTCTTCTTCTTGGACTATTGGCTTTGTCCCTTCTAAAGGTCCACCAGAGTGGAAAACACACCTTTACCTAGAAATTAGCAATACTAAGCAAAATATATTTTCTAGAATATCCACCTAAAAAATCCTGCTCAAAATCAGAGAGGAATTACCACAACTGGTACTCGTCCTTGAAGCCAATTAATTTTTATCTTCAGTAGCAGTAGAGGACATGGAGTTATCTGCGATCAGGGGTGTCATTAAATAATTAGCAATTTTCTTTTTCTTTGGTTTTGTCTCTTCTCAAGGACCACCAGAACGGAAAGCTTGCCTCTACCTAATAATTAGCAATACTAAACAAAATACTATTCTAGAATATCCACCTAAAAAATCCTGCTCAAAATCAGAGAGTAATTACCACAACTGATATTCGTCCTTGAAGCCAATTAAATTTTATCTTCAGTAGCAGTGGAGGACATGGGAGTTATCTGCGATCATCTCTCGCTCTGCAAACACGTCCAGTCCCCGGACCCTCCTCTTTCATGTCTCACAAGCCAAATTAACAGTTACCCTTGATGATTTAAAGAGAACCGCCTTCAGCTTAATATAAGGCTCACTTGTGAAAAAATAGACCCGAGTTTACTTTATCTTTCTCTGGGCAAATTATGGCAAATTGTCAATGAGTTATGACTCACCTAACAGCTGGCATAAAAGAAAATGGCTTGAAGGTACCAGTACCAATACAAATCACATTTTTTTTTTCAAGCAAACTATTACCTTTATCTATCTCAAGGTTATAACATTATGAATGCTGCCTGCATTTATTGCTCATTCAGAGATGACAGATATCAATTTTCTTCTTCTCTTTTGTAGTGAATTAGTCAATTATCATTTTGAAGTAAATGCTCAAGGGATTCATCATGCCACTTATGCGTCACTTAAACAAGGAGCTCAGACCTTACTATTGTCGGACCCTGGATGACATTTCTATGCAGAAAAATACAAAAGAATATTAAATAACTAAAATCTAAATACCCCGCCTAACATTCTTACACATGTTACACAAACACAAATATGCAAGAACACACACGCACACTAATTCACTGAAGCATTCTTATTTCTCCATCAACCACAAAGAATATGACAAGGCTTAACTAAAAATACAGACGTGAGCCTACTGTTTCAAACATTTATCATGACACCTAACCCAGACTTCTTTGCAGATCTTGACGAATCTCAGGAACCATCATAATTGAATTTAAAAAACGTTGCATTCTGAGTTTCCGCAAAAAAAAAAAAAAAAAAAAAAAAAAACAGATGTCAGAGAATAGGTAGCAAGTAAAAACATGACAGCACAGGTCTGTTGCCAGCAATATCATATAAGGGGTCTTTTCCTAAAAAGGTGGACATTTTTTCCCCTTAGTTGACAGAACTTGAAAAGCAGAA